TCCCCTAAACCCTCAAGCCTAAACTGTTAAGCGGATCTTGTCCTGGCTATCCCCTCGGCACTCTTATACATGAAATGCATTGCATGAGCCTAGGTCATAAGGAATTCGAAGGACAATGTGGCCCATGAAGACTTTGCGGTTTAGGGTTTAGGGTTTTAGGGCCCAGGGCGGGAGGGTTGTTGACAATGCAAAATATGGGTTGAATTGCGGGTTCAAGACTGGAGGGATTTCGTGAGACCTCCCAGGCCTGAAGCCCATGTGGTCGTTTCCAAACAGGGCAGACCTCCATAGCGACCCCAAAGTACTGTAGTGTAGGTGGACCCCCCTCCCTGCCAATTGGTGGTATAGTAGGAATATAAGAGGACCCCAATATAGTTAGTATCCCTTATAGTCACTTTTACTGGGGGGCCCACTAATAGCAACTCGAAACTCTAAACCCTAAACGGTAATTTCCCCAAATAAGGGGACCCCAATATGGACCCCAAAGACTATATTTCTTATTCTGGGGACCTTCAGAAGGGAACCCCTAATTTTGGGAAACCCCGAAACCCCCAACTATAAGGGATAATAAGGATTATACTATACCCTAAACCCTAAACCCTAGATTATACTAGAGCCCATTTTTGTCCTACTACACCACTATTACAGGGTGGAGGGGTCCTCCTCTGGCATCCTCTAGGCTCATGAAGCCATGTAAGCCGTCCCTTTAGTCTAGGATAGTCTAGGGTTTAGAGTTTAGGGTTTAGGGTTGAGAGTAGGTTTTAGGCTTTAGGGTTAAGAGTTTAGGGTTTAGAGTTCAGGGTTTAGAGTTGAGGTTTTAGGGTTTAGGGTTTGGGGTTTAGGGTTCCCTAAACCCTAAACCCTATAAACCAGCTCAAGAATCATCCAAGAGACCTGATCGCGAAGAACGGAACCAGGACGTGCATCTAAGTCTTTGTTGGCGGGGTTTTCTTGAGGTTTAGGGTTTGGGGTTTAGAGTCCCCCTTACGTAGATAGAATATGGGATATATGGGGATCTTATTATAAATATACCCAAAGCCATATTCTATCTACTTAAGGGGGACTATAGGTTAAGGAGTCTTGGATTCAGCAGTCTCAGCCGGCAATCGGCGACGTCTCTGAAGCTCCCACTTGAAGGGCGGAGGGAGACTTTCGCAACTGTGATACCCATGGAGGTTTTTCATGATTTAGGGGTCCCTTTTCGGGGCACCTCTAATCAAAGAGGATGATGGTATTTTGGGGGTCTGCGTGGGGCTGGCCCCCTGTTGTTTGGAAACTACCATCTCTTGCTGGCAGTAAGTTGCCAGGGCAGTTACAAATTAGAAAATCCTGGGAGACTCCTACAAGAATTCGATTTGACGCACTTACACAAGTCCTTGGCGACATTGCAAAGTGTCTTTCGGCACCTGACCTCGCTCTTGTAACTTGCTAACCTCATATGAGCTATAGTCTAGACTCCTTAAAGGAGGGTATGTAGGGGATTGTATTGGGGGGCTTCTTAAGGGGGATGCTAGGAATTTGCCACTATAGCTCATATACACAACTACTTGCCAAGATTCGCAAAGTAAGAATTGCAATCGGGAGTCCACTTGAGATCGTTAGCAGTCTAGAATATGTGTTGGTCCTGGCCGAACAGAACCAGATTCCTCATCAAAAGGCTTCCTGGTGCTGAGTAGGGAATGAGGCAATATAACACCCATAAACAATCCCTTGTAACAGGTATTCCCTTCCCTTATTGCCTGCTAACCCCCCAGTAAGAAGGGTTTCAGGAATTTGTACAACACTGTTCTTGTAATGCACGGACTGAAGCCAGGACATCTGACAAAGCCAACACCTACACAGCAAGAAACACTCAAGTGTAAGTTTTCTGTTGGGCTTGAGTGCCAACGAAGACAGCAAAAGAAACATGTAGGATCATCAAGACACCTCCTCAGATGCCTGGTACGTTGCCAAGTAATCAATGAAAGGCCACCAGATTGGAGCAGTGGACCCAAGGATCCACTTGTATGGAAAAGCGTCCGCCCCCAGTTGCTGCATAAGCGCTTGCGGCAGCAAAGACCGGACTGACTCGTTGAATTTGTCCTCAGCCCCAAACCAGCTTGTGACGCACTGACGCACAATCTCTCGGTCACACACTGGGACTGGCTGGCCGTTGGCAGGGTTGATGTGATTGACGCTGCAGCACCAGCAGAAAGCGTTTTGAAGTTGGAAGTCCCGCAACTGCTGAAGAGTGTGCTCCAGGGACCGAAAATATCTGCGGAAGGCATGGACAACGAAAATACCCTCCGCAAGGACGAACAGAAGCAGCATCGACCACATCACAATAACGTTGTCAAATGGGTTGAACACCGCAAAGACACCAAGGGCAAGAACGCATACCTGACTCAGGGTTGAATCGTCCTTGCCGCTGGCTTCTGATAACCCTTGCCTCTAGAAGGCGTAAACTCCCCTTTCTGGAGCATCAGATGGAAAAGAACATGGAAAGTTGAATGGAAACTGGGCTGAGGGCTTTCCACAAACTAGGTGCCCTTCTAGGGCGGTTACCATAAGCATGACTATTATATATATATATATATATGGTCTATGTTGGGGAGCCCCTGTGCATGGAAACGACCATATCTATCCCAGGTACAACCACAGACCCCGCAACAAGGCCCAGGAGAAGCGGTTTGATTTGCACATTGGGCAGCTTGTCTCCAACTCTTCCTTGCTGGGCTTTCAAGAATGCTGAGAGCTCGAACACACACCAAAGCCTCTCAGCATGGGTGGGAACTTCTGGAACTTAGGGTGTGGGGCGTCTTAATATGTTTTGGTCTTTAATTGGGATCCCTCCCTATTATTTATGGACACCAAAGCCTCTCAGCATAGGACTCGTCAAACATCACCAAGAAGGACTTGGACGAACTCAACACAGCTCCAATGTTCAAGATTCCCTCTGCTTTCATCCGCACGTCGAACTGATTGATGCACATGCGGTCAACAAACATCAAACCCTTGGGTCTCCAGAACATGATCGTCAACGCTCCAACAGGCAGTCCAACTGCAGAACACCAACAGGAAAACGACAGGTTATGCTTGATGAAGCCCGGAAGAATGCCAAACTGCCACACGACCATCATGAGCAAAGCGCCAACTGTTCCACAAACCAGGGCTGGCATGCCATTTTTCCTGCAGAGAAGATTCCCATACGTACCTAAAAATAGATTGCTGTTAATGGTCTTAAACGATGCTGCTACCATGGTGAGGAAGCCATATCATTTTATGGCAACTTAATGGAGTTCCTTGACAGCGACCCGGACAAAGCACACTCATGTTACTTAATGGCAACTGGCCCGCCCACTGGGCTTAATTATCCTCGGATCAGAAACCTAGGTAGCATATTACAAAGCACAGTTCCAAAACCGCTAGATAGGTCGTAACCTGATCCAACTCGGATGTTTCTCAGCTCTTAAGTCAGTTAGAGCTTGCCGGACCTCTCGGAAAGGAGAGAGACATGGGTGGTTGTCAAAATTATGGTGCCCTTTTGGGTACCCTAAATAAGTGCCGTATTATAATGGTGATCCAGAAAGGGCCCACAATTTTGTGGAGGGCTAGGCTTGCAATTCAAAGGAATGGGTGTGCAAGGACAAAGCATCCTTCTAACTCCCCTCGTAGACCAACAGCCCCCATACATAAGGACACCCCAAAATATTCCTCATTCTTGGGACCTCCAGAAGAGGGACCCCCAAGTTTGTTGAACTGCATGTGGAACAATCTTAAGCCCGCAACAGCTGCTAAACACCAAAACAATCAACAACAATCCCACCCAATACTATGTCTACTTAGGAACTTGATGATTGTTCTTGCTATTCTTGTTGCTCATATTGCTGCCCTAAACCCTAAACCCTACACCCACTCTCTCCAGCCAAGCTTCAGAATCAGCAAGAGTAAGGCTTTCTTCCAGCTTGAAACTTGCCAACTATGACTCAGGAACTCATCGAAGTGAGCTGTCACTCTGCTGAGGTGATAAAAGTTGGTCCTCCTAGGCTTTTATGGGGACATTTTAGCCATAATGAGTCTAAACTCCTAGTATCCCCCTTAATAACCCCTATAATACTCCTGCATATAATCCCCTATATAATCCTCTTAAGGAGTTTAGACTACGGATCATAGGGGACTGGACAAGATTATGGAAACTACTATTTAGGATTTCAGGGTTAGGGGCCAGCCACCCATGAATGACGCAGGGGGCACGCTTCAGGTTGGCAGGTATTCAAGACACCTACGATATAAACCCAAAATCATTAAACCGAATCCCTAACCCTAAGTGACAAGGCCTACCAACCTCAGTACATCTTGTGGCGAGGCGACATTTAGTCAACAGGGACTAGAAACACAAAACCTTCTTCAGGGCTCAGGGTCTGGAAGAGCAACGGATCTGAACAGCCCAGGTGAGGTTAGACTCTTTAACCCACTACAAAAGCTTAGCTCCAGACAAGAGATGATGGTGATCATACAAAATGTGCGGAACGGGTACAAGCCTGAACCCTAACCCACCGCCCCGGAACAAAGTCTTCCTTTAAGGGTAGTGTCTTGGAGGCCCAAAACACTCGCCCGAAACAGCCGACGACCTGCGAAGGTAATTCATGCCGGGGGTTGGGGTTGAAAACGCGTGGGCTTCGGGTTTATTGCGGTTGTGGGTTTAAGCTGTTGGGCACAAGGCTCAAGGTCTAGTATTTAGGTTTTCAGTACTAAGGTGCCAGGTCTCTTATCGAGTTTGTTTTCCACTTGATCCTCCATTACTGGGTTTATATCCTTATACATCCTTACAGACCCGCTTATAAGGACCAGGGTTCCCATTTCTTCTTCCAGCTTCTTTTCCATTTGCTTGTCTATTATTTGATGTAAGGTCTACATGATAGGCGGGCCAAACTCTAACCCCTAAATCCCACCTAAACCCTAAACCCTAAATCCCAAATCCTACTTCCATGATAAGCACGGCCAAGCCACCTGATGGGCGGGAGCCGCCCGCAGCATCTCTGGACGGGTCGCCTGCATTCCTGAGGGACTGGGCCTACTCATAGGTCTCCCAAAGGGTTTAGGGTCTAGGGGGTCTCCCAAAATTAGATCTACCAGGAATTATATTGGGGTTACATAGGGGTTATAAAGGGGTAATGGAAGAGAAAATGGAAACTACTATTTAGGGTTTAGGGTTTAGGGTTGCCCAAAATTAGAATTACCTTTTGGGGAGTCCCCATAAGAAGGACTAGAATATTTGGGGGCTTATATTGGGGGCCTATGTAGGGAAAAGTCCCACTTGAAGGTTGATGGTGTTTTGGGGCAAATCATATAAAGGCCGTTTGTGGCACGTGTCATTACAGGCCCAGCTATGAATAATTACAAAGCCCCATCAACCACGAAGCAGTGAAGGAGTCGGAGCCCGATCAACTTCATGAGCCTTGCGTTCTGCAGCATTTTCTGCTATAGCTATGTGGTAGTTTCCTGAAATGGGGGACCCCAATATAGACCCCCAAATATTATAGTCCTTATTATTGAGACCCTAAAAAGGTATATACCCCTAATTTAGGGAACCCCCATGTCAGGATGGGTTGCCCAAAGTGCCTGCAGTTGAGTGCCGGGGTTAAGCGGGTGTCCTTCTCGGCTTTGGAACCTAGAGCCAAGCGTAGAAAAAGTCGACCTGAAGTAGATAGAATATGGGGATTACATTGGGATAATGGAAAAGAGAATGGAAACTACTGTAGCGAAGAAAAGACAAGGTAAATGGGATTGTGGGGGCATAATGGAAAACAACATGGAAACTATTGCAATGGGGTTATATGAGCTATAGTCTAAACTCCTAGTATCCCCCTTAATAACCCCTATAGTAGTCCCCTATATAATCCCCTATATAACTCCATTTAAGGAGTTTAGACTAGTTTTGGGTTTGGGGTTTAGGCTGCCGAAATTCTCTCGATGAGTGCGACGATACAGGCGATTTCCGCTTTTGAGTCATCCGGCTGTCGAGGGTGACCTTCGGCTTCTGACAGATTCTCTACTTCTGGAGGGGCGTCTTCTTCGTGGAGCTCATCTTCTTCGTTGGGCACGTCTTCTTGCAAGTTGATCTCATCCAAACCTCGAGGGCAAGAGTCTTGAAAAAGGACTGTTGCTCCAAGGGGCTGCTCGCAAATAATATTCGCGCCACAAATGAACCACAAAAGATCCGGGATTCAGAAGTATGGTGACGCCCAAAACACCATCTGATTACTTTTTTGCAGTGGATACTTTCGTATTATTCGTATTGTATGTACTGTTGTGACTAACTACTGCTTGTGGCATACGCTCAGAACGCGGTTCCAAAAATTGTGACGACTACCAGGGGCACCGAACTGTTGGGAACCCAAGGCTTGGGACCCATGTGACACGAACTGAACATAGGTCGAACCCAATTGGCCTAAACCCTAAACCCTAAATCCTAAACTCTAAACCCTATGTAATTCCCTATGTAACCCCCTTGGAGGACTTTAGACTAACAAACATGGCACTCATCCGTTGGGGCTCTTCAGAACTGTGGACACTAGGATCCCAGTAGAGACGATGTTGATTGGACCTTTTGGGTTACTATATGAACTCCTTGAAGGGGGCTTATATAAGGGATTCGAAAGGGGGATACCATAGGGCTTACGAAGGGGGATACTAGGAGTTTACACTATGGCTCATCTACTTCTAAAAGGTCTCGTAACGCTGCTAATAGCTGGGGTAAACCATGTAAACCTTACGAGGACATTTACGTGGGTTATACGTAGGTTATGAACCCAGTTGCAAGTTTATGAGGATTCCTACACCCTAAATCAAAACCGTAGACCCTAAGCCTAAGCCCTCGACCCTGAAACACTTCACCCCTGAACCCCTCAACGCTTAACTGTCACGGAACTGTCTCTCAAATGAGCCATAGTCTAAACTCCTAGTATCCCCCTTAATAACCCCTATAGTAGTCCCCTATATAATCCCCTATATACCCCCTCTTTGAGGAGTTTAAACTATGGCGCGTATAACCCCTATATTACCTCTATATAATTTCAGCTAAATATTAAGATTCTAGGTAACAGAAATTAAAAATTATCTTCAGGAACCTTGTAGGTCTCTCAAATGGCCGAGGACATGTGCATCCTTAGCGTCGCCAGTCCTCAGCGGGAAGGATGGGTGCAGGGTCTTCAGGTTTGGGGTTTAGGGGGTGGCGTTTGTGGGAGATCTAGGGTTTTAAGGCTCAGCGTTTAAGGTTTTAGGGTTTAGGGTCTAAGATTAGGAGCTTCTTATAATAAGGGTTCTACTCCATATTTCAGTATAGCCGGTACCTGCATTATGGAAAGGTTCATGTGGGGCCTCTCCAGGGCCAAGGATTTTGAGTGAGGGTGTGGGGGGGTATATGGGCCTAAACCCTAAACCCTGAACCCTAAACCCTGAACTGGCCGAAGGTTGAAGATTGTACCTGCTCAGGGCAAACCTCAACCCCAAAACCCTTATCCTCAGGTCCTAAGCCCAAACCCTAAACCCCAAATCCTACACCCCCCGCGCCTATAGTTCCCCTTAAGTAGATAGAATATGGCTTTGGGTATATTTATACAAAAATTCCCAACTTAAGGGCGACCATAACCCCTAAATCCACAACCCTAAAGCTTTTAACAAGCTAGCCAAGCATCTCCTCCACCTCTTCGGCGTGGCTCATATCTCCATGGCCCAACTCCAGGTTTAGGGCTTAGGGTTCAGGGTTCAGGGTTTAGGGTTTAGGGTTTAGGGCTTAGGGTTTAGGGTTTAGAGCTTAGGGTTTAGGATTTAGGGTTTAGGGCTTAGGGTTTAGGGTCCTTGACACT